ACCACCACCACCACCCCCACCACCACCCCCACCACCACCACCACCACCCCCACCACCACCCCCACCACCACCACCACCACCCCCACCACCACCCCCACCACCACCCCCACCACCTCACCCACCACCACCACCACCACCACCACCCCCACCACCACCCCCACCACCATCCCCACCACCACCCCCACCACCTCACCCACCACCTCACCTACCACCACCTCAACTGAGACACCCACTCCAACCCCTACCACCACTGTGACCCCGACCACCACCCCCACCTCACCCACCACCTCACCCACCACCTCACCCACCACCTCACCCACCACCTCACCTACATCCTCACCCACCACCTCACTCACCACCTCACCAACCACTTCACCCACCACCACCACCACTGAGACACCAACCCCAACCCCAACCACCACTGTGACCCCGACCACCTCACCCACCACCTCACCCACCACCCCCACACCAGAGCCAACGACCACCGTGACGACTACTACTACGACATCCACAGCTACACCAACGCCCACCACGACGGTGCCACCGTCCACTCCATGCATAGATTGCAGCTGGACGGGCTGGAAAGACAGTGGGAAGCCGGACTTCAGCCCATCAGGCGGTGACTTCGAGCTCGTTGGCCAGGTCTGTCAGCCCGGCTGGGCAGTCAACATCTCCTGCAGAGCCACCATGTTTCCAGACCGCCCCATCGAAGAGCTGGGGCAGACTGTGGTGTGCAATGTCTCCGTGGGGCTCGAGTGCAAAAACCAAGACCAGAAGCCAGGGGGCGCCAGCATAATGCCCGGCTGCTACAACTATGAGATCAACGTCTACTGCTGTGGCTACTGCTCTCCCAACAACAACACCTCACCCACCACCTCACCCACCAGCTCACCCACCACCTCATTCACCACCTCACCCACCACCTCACCCACCACCACCTCACCCACCACCTCACTGACCACCTCACCCACCACCTCACCCACCACCTCACCCACCACCTCACCCACCGCCTCACCCACCACCTCATCCACCACCTCACCCACCACCTCACCCACCACCTCACCCACCACCTCACCCACCACCTCACCGACCACCTCACCTACCACCTCACCCACCACCTCACCCACCACCTCACCTACCACCACCTCAACTGAGACACCCACCCCAACCCCTACCACAACCACCACTGAGACACCAACCCCAACCCCTACCACCACTGTGACCCCTACCCCGACCCCCACCACCTCACCCACCACCTCACCAACCACCTCACTCACCACCTCACCAACCACCTCACCAACCACTTCACCCACCACCACCACCGAGACACCAACCCCAACCCCTACCACCACTGTGACCCCGACCACCACCCCCACCTCACCCACCACCTCACCCATCACCTCACCCACCACCTCACCCACCACCTCACCCACCACCACCTCAACTGAGACACCAACCCCAATCCCTACCACCACTGTGACTCTGACCACCACCCCCACCTCACCCACCACCTCACCCACCACCTCACCAACCACCTCACTCACCACCTCACCAACCACCTCACCAACCACTTCACCCACCACCACCACCGAGACACCAACCCCAACCTCAACCACCACTGTGACCCCGACCACCACCCCCACCTCACCCACCACCTCACCCACCACCTCACCGACCACCTCATCCACCACCTCACCCACCACCTCACCGACCACCTCACCCACCACCTCACCCACCACCTCACCCACCACCTCACCCACCACCTCACCTACCACCACCTCAACTGAGACACCCACCCCAACCCCTACCACCACTGTGACCCCTACCCCGACCCCCACCACCTCACCCACCACCTCACCCACCACCTCACCAACCACCTCACTCACCACCTCACCAACCACTTCACCCACCACCACCACCACTGAGACACCAACCCCAACCTCAACCACCACTGTGACCCCGACCACCACCCCCACCTCACCCACCACCTCACCAACCACCTCACCCACCACCTCACCTACATCCTCACCAACCACCTCACTCACCACCTCACCAACCACATCACCCACCACCACCACCACTGAGACACCAACCCCGACCCCAACCACCACTGTGACCCCGACGACCACCCCCATCTCATCCACCACCTCACCCACCACCTCACCTACATCCTCACCAACCACCTCACCCACCACCTCACCAACCACTTCACCTACATCCTCACCCACCACCTCACCAACCACTTCACCCACCACCACTGAGACACCAACCCCAACCCCAACCACCACTGTGACCCCGACCACCTCACCCACCACCTCACCCACCACCCCCACACCAGAGCCAACGACCACCGTGACGACTACTACTACGACATCCACAGCTACACCAACGCCCACCACGACGGTGCCACCGTCCACTCCATGCATAGATTGCAGCTGGACGGGCTGGAAAGACAGTGGGAAGCCGGACTTCAGCCCATCAGGCGGTGACTTCGAGCTCGTTGGCCAGGTCTGTCAGCCCGGCTGGGCAGCCAACATCTCCTGCAGAGCCACCATGTTTCCAGACCGCCCCATCGAAGAGCTGGGGCAGACTGTGGTGTGCAATGTCTCCGTGGGGCTCGAGTGCAAAAACCAAGACCAGAAGCCAGGGGGCGCCAGCATAATGCCCGGCTGCTACAACTATGAGATCAACGTCTACTGCTGTGGCTACTGCTCTCCCAACCACACCACCTCACCCACCACCTCACCCACCAGCTCACCCACCACCTCATCCACCACCTCACCCACCACCTCACCCACCACCTCACTGACCACCTCACCCACCACCTCACCCACCACCTCACCTACCACCTCACCCACCACCTCACTCACCACCTCACCCACCACCTCACCCACCACCACCTCACCCACCACCTCACCCACCACCTCACCCACCAGCTCACCCACCACCTCATCCACCACCTCACCCACCACCTCACTGACCGCCTCACCCACCACCTCACCCACCACCTCACCCACCACCTCACCTACCACCTCACCCACCACCTCACCCACCACCTCACCCACCACCTCACTGACCACCTCACCCACCACCTCATCCACCACCTCACCCACCACCTCACCCACCACCTCACCCACCACCTCACCGACCACCTCACCCACCACCTCACCCACCACCTCACCCACCACCTCACCCACCACCTCACCCACCACCTCACTGACCACCTCACCCACCGCCTCATCCACCACCTCACCCACCACCTCACCGACCACCTCACCCACCACCTCACCCACCACCTCACCCACCACCTCACCTACCACCTCACCCACCACCTCACCCACCACCTCACCCACCACCTCACTGACCACCTCACCCACCGCCTCATCCACCACCTCACCCACCACCTCACCCACCACCTCACCTACCACCACCTCAACTGAGACACCCACCCCAACCCCTACCACAACCACCACTGAGACACCAACCCCAACCCCTACCACCACTGTGACCCCTACCCCGACCCCCACCACCTCACCCACCACCTCACCCACCACCTCACCAACCACCTCACTCACCACCTCACCAACCACCTCACCAACCACTTCACCCACCACCACCACCGAGACACCAACCCCAACCCCTATCACCACTGTGACCCCGACCACCACCCCCACCTCACCCACCACCTCACTGACCACCTCACCCACCACCACCTCACCCACCACCTCACCCACCACCTCACCCACCACCTCACCCACCACCACCTCAACTGAGACACCAACCCCAACCCCTACCACCACTGTGACTCCGACCACCACCCCCAGCTCACCCACTACCTCACCCACCACCTCACTGACCACCTCACCCACCACCACCTCACCCACCACCTCACCCACCACCTCACCCACCACCTCAACTGAGACACCCACCCCGACCCCTACCACCACTGTGACCCCGACCACCCCCCCCACCTCACCCACCACCTCACCCACCACCTCACCCACCACCACCTCAACTGAGACACCAACTCCAACCCCTACCACCATTGTGATCCCGACCACCACCCCTACCTCACCTACCACCTCACCCACCACCTCACCCACCACCTCACCCACCACCACCTCACCCACCACCTCACTGACCACCTCACCCACCACCACCTCACCCACCACCTCACCCACCACCTCACCTACCACCACCCCAACTGAGACACCCACCCCAACCCCTACCACCATCACCACTGAGACACCAACCCCTACCACCACTGTGACCCCAACCACAACCCCCACCTCACCCACCACCTCATCTACCACCACCTCACCCACTACCTCACCCACCACCTCACCCACCACCACCTCAACTGAGACACCAACCCCAACCCCTACCACCACTACCACTGAGACACCCACCCCGACCCCTACCACCACTGTGACTCCGACCACCACCCCCACCTCACCCACCACCTCACCCACCACCTCACCCACCACCTCACCCACCACCACCTCACCCACCACCTCACCCACCACCTCACCCACCACCACCTCACCCACCACCTCACCCACCATTAGCTCAACAGAGACACCTACCACCACCCCTCAGACCCCCACCTCCACTCCCGTGACTACGTCAACGACCACCGTGGGAACCCCTACTTCGTCTGGCCGCCCGTCGACCGCCCCGACCACCAGCGTCTCCACTGGCGTGCCCAGCTCCTCGCCGACCACAGGGCCCACCTCGTCCCAGAAGGGTTGCTGCTTTCTGAATGACACCTACTATGAGCCAGGTACCCAAGCCTTCTCTTCTGACTCCCGGCAGAGGCTGCGGGACGGAGTGGGCGGGAGGGGCCGGTCGGCGGCCGAGCCCGGGCGCTGCTGGAGAAGCCCCGCTGGGGGCGGCTGTCTCCCCGCCGGCCCCTCCCTGCGGCGGCCACGGCGGGGTCTGGGCCTCTGTGGGGACCGGCCTGTCGGACGGCATAGGACGGGCCTCTCCCTGCAGGCGAGATGGTGTACAACGGCACCCACGGGGATACCTGCTACTACGTGAACTGCTCCCTCAACTGCACCTTTGAGATCTTCAATTGGCCCTGCCCGTCCACGCCGTCCACGCCGACCACGCCGTCCACGCCGACCACGCCGTCCACACCGTCCACGCCATCCACACCGTCCACGCCGACCACGCCATCCACACCGTCCACGCCCACCACCCGGCCATCCACCAAACCCCCCGGGTGCCCGGACTTCGATCCTCCCAGGAAGGTCAGCGGGCTGTGGGCGGCTGCCGTCCCCTCGGGTGGATGCGCTGACCAGGCCTGAGGCCCCAGGCGCTGCCTTCCTGCCCCCAAGTCCTGGGCGGCCCCGTGGGGCCCAGCCTTCCGGGCCCAGCGCCTGCGGAGCTCTCCCCCGCCCGCCACCTCTCCTCGCCGTCTACCCCCCGAGAGGGCCCCGAGCACGGCCCCTCCTCAGTGGACAGCGGGGGCTGGCCGACCGCAGCTGACCGCGGCCGCCCCCGCCGCCCCGGCTGACCCGCGCCCTCCCGCCGCAGGAGAACGAGACGTGGTGGCTGTGTAACTGCACCATGGCCGTCTGCAAGCACGACAACACGGTGGAGCTGGTGCAGGTGGAGTGCAAGCCGCCGCCCATGCCCACCTGCTCCAACAACCTCACACCGGTGCGCGTCATGGACCCCGACGGCTGCTGCTGGCACTGGGAGTGCGACTGTAAGCCGCCCAGCCAGGGCCGCCCGCCCGCCCCGGCCCTCCCCGCCCCACCGCCTCCCGCCTCCCGCCTCCCGCCGTGGGCGGCTGCAGGCCCGGTGGGCTGGATGGCTGATGGCCAGGCACCCGCCCAGGCTTCTCACACCCCCTTCCCTCCCGGGCAGCCGCGGGGCCTGCCCAGCTGACCTCAGCCACCTCCACCGGTGGCTGCTTCTGCACCCAGCCCTCTGGCTCAAAGCCAGGCCCGTCCCGTGGGAGGGGTGGGGGGAGGGAGGCCCTTTGGGGGCTGGAGGCGGGACCAGGCCCCCCGGCCTGGGTGCTCGGAGCCCGGGAAGCAGACTCCTCCGCCCCTGGTCCCCGCCCGCCCCGTGCCGTCCTGCCGGGCCCTGCGCTGGCTCACCCGGCCCCTCCGCAGGCTACTGCTCCGGCTGGGGCGACCCCCACTACGTCACCTTCGACGGGCTCTACTACAGCTACCAGGGCAACTGCACCTACGTGCTGGTGGAGGAGGTGCGGCCCACGGTGGACAACTTCGGCGTTTACATCGACAACTACCACTGCGACGTGCGCGACCGCGTGTCCTGCCCGCGCACGCTCATCGTGCGCCACGAGACCCAGGAGGTGCTCATCAAGACCGTGCACATGGCGCCCATGCGGGTCCAGGTACGCCGGCCGCGCCCTCGGCGGGGGCCCCGGCGCAGGGGCCGGAGCGGGGCGGGGGCGGCCGCTCCGCCCGGCGCCCTGACCCAGGTGCCGCCGCAGGTGCAGGTGAACAAGCAGGCGGTGGCGCTGCCGTACCGTAAATATGGGCTGCAGGTGTACGAGTCGGGCATCAACTTCGTGGTGGACATCCCCGAGCTGGGCGCCATCATCTCCTACAACGGCCTGGCCTTCTCCATCCGGCTGCCCTACCGCCTGTTCGGCAACAACACCAAGGGCCAGTGCGGTGAGTGCCCCGCTCGGCCGCGGCTCCGGCTCCGGCTCCTCTGCTCCGGGGCCTGCGGCTCAGGGACTCGGGGCTTTGCGCGGGGCGGGGGGCGGCCGGCACCCCCTCGGGCCGCCGCGCTGGCACCCTCCGCCCGCCGCCCTGGGTCTGGCCGGCGGGACGCGGACGCGGTCGGTGCAGCCCGGGCCCGCGGGGCGCGGGCGGAGGGTTGAGCCGGCCTCCCCCCCCCCCCCCCCAGGCACCTGCACCAACAGCAAGGAGGATGACTGCGTGCTGCCCAGCGGCGAGGTTGTCTCTGACTGCGAGCTGGCTGCCGACCACTGGGTGGTGAACGACCCCTCCAAGCCGCACTGCCCGCACACCAGCTCCACCACCCGGCGCCCGGCCACCACGGCCCCCGGCGGCCCCGGCCCCCACAGGAACTGCTCCTCGCCACTCTGCGAGCTCATCAAGAGCAGGTGCGGCCGCCTCTGTGCCCGCCAGCAAGGAGAGCAGGGGCAGGGCGCTGGGGGCGGGGCAGGCTCCTGCTTCCACGGGGCCGAGCTGCCTGGTCAGCCGTCCCTCTGCCTCTCTGACCCCGAGGGCTGCCGGTGGAGGGAGAAGTGGCTTAGTCAGGGCCTCTAGGGGGCGGCGGGGGCAGGGCTGGGCGGAGGGGTGAGAGGTGGGTTGTGACCCGTGTCCCTCCCCGCAGCCTGTTTGCCCAGTGCCACCCCCTGGCGCCCCCCCAGCACTACTATGAGGCCTGCGTGTTCGACACCTGCAACGTGCCCAACTCGGGCATGGAGTGCGCCAGCCTGCAGACCTACGCGGCCCTCTGTGCCCATGAGGGCGTCTGCGTGGACTGGCGGAACCACACTCACGGGGCCTGCTGTGAGTGCCGCCCGCCCCCGGCCTGGCTCCCGCAGGGCTCCGCGGGGCGCTGGGCCGGCCTGAAGCGGCTGGAGGGCGTCCGGGCACGCAGGGAGAGCGGGCTGGGGCTGGGGCTGGGGCTGGGGCTGGGGCTGGGGCTGGGGCTGGGGCTGGGGTGGGGGAGGGAGGGCTGGCTGGAGGCCGGGAGGGGAGGCTGCCTCTGACCGCTGGCACCTGCCGCTCAGCTGGTGTCGGCGTGGGGTGCTGAGCCGGGCAGGACGGTCGCTTGGGGGGCGGGCTCCTCCTGCGCCTGGCCCCTGACGGCTGCCTCCCTCCCGCAGCCGTGACCTGCCCGCCTCACCGGGAGTACCGGGCCTGCGGCCCCGCCGAGGAGCCCACCTGCAAGTCCAGGTCAGTCTCCGCGGCGGCTCCCCGCCGGGCGCGGGTGGCACTGCCAGGCTCAGCCGCCCGCACTCAGCTCACCATGCCTTCCCTCCTCCAGCGCCTCCAGCCAGCCGGCCCCCAGCGCCTCCCGCCATCCCGAGCCCAGCATCCCAGAGAACAACACGATGCTGGTGGAGGGCTGTTACTGCCCAGAGGGCACCATGAACTACGCCCCCGGCTTTGACGTCTGCGTGGAAGTGTGTGGTACGTCCCCGCCCTCCGGCCGCCCCCCGGCCGCCCCCCGGCCGCCACGAGGCCCAGCCGTCCTGCGGCCCGGACTCAGCTAACGGCCCGTCTCCTCTCTCCTAGGCTGCGTGGGGCCTGACAACGTGCCCAGAGAGGTAGGCCTGCCCGCGGCGCTGGGCTCACCCTCCCTCAGGGGCCCTGAGGGTCTGGGGTGGGGTGGGGTGGACATGAGAACCTGGGAGTTCCCAGGCTCAGTAACCAGCCTGTTAAGTCCTGCAAAGCTTGGCTAGCAGGGCTGTCCACCGTCCACTCAGCTGGGCCAACAACCCCTGCTCCCACCCCTCTGTCTGTTTGCCGGTTCTCTATCCTTCCATCCCTAAATCCTCTGTCCCTCTGTACATCCATCCTTTAGCTCATTCACCTCTCTGTCCATCCATCTATTCACCCATCATGCTTCCAACAATCCATCATCCACCCATCCATACACCCATCTCCACCATCCAACCATTTATCCATCCACCTACCCATCCACCCATCCAACTACCCATCCGCCATCCATCCAATCACCCATCCACCATCCATCCATCCATCCATCCACCCATCTCCACCATCCAACCATTTATCCATCCACCTACCCATCCACTCATCCAAATACCCATACATCCATCCACCCATCCGCCATCCATCCAATCACCCATCCACCATCCATCCATCCATCCATCCATCCATCTCCACCATCCAATCATTTATCCATCCATCCATTTACCCATCCATCCATCCACCACCCACCACCATCCATCCGTCAGCCCACACATCCCTCCATCCGTCCATCCACCCTCCACACCACACGCCTGGCAGCTCCCAATGCCCTGTCTAACCCCGAGCTGCAGTCCCAGCCGCCGCCTGGCTGCCTGCCTCCCGCACACGGTTGTCCTTGGCTCTCCCTCACACACCCGGAGCCACGTGTGGCTCGTCTGCCACAGGCGTGCCGCGTAGGGAAATGCTGGCGAGCAGGTCACGGCTGTGTTGTTCGTGGCCTGGCCCTCAGTGACGGCCGCTGTCCTGGACCAGAAGGCCGGTGCCCAGCACGGTGCCCCTCCCCGCTGACCCCGGAGCCGGCCGGGCACAGCTCTCATCCCCACGCCCCCTCTCCCCGCAGTTCGGGGAGCACTTTGAGTTCGACTGCAAGGACTGCGTGTGCCTGGAGGGCGGCAGCGGCATCGTCTGCCAGCCCAAGCAGTGCCTGCAGGAGCCGCCCGCCCGCTGCACGGAGGACGGCACGTTCCTGGTCACCGAGGTCAACCCCGCCGACCCCTGCTGCAACGTCACCTTCTGCAGTAAGGCCGGGGCCCCTGCCCCGCCCCGCCCCGGGGTCACCGAGCAGGGCCTGCCCCCACCCCGGGCTCCAGGGGTCACCGAGCAGGCCCGCCCCGCCCCGGGGTCACCGAGCAGGGCCTGCCCCCACCCCGGGCTCCAGGGGTCACCGAGCAGGCCCGCCCGTGCCTGATGCACCCCCACTGTGAGCCGGGGCCTGTGGCTGGCGCTGGAGGCTGGGGGCGGAGGTGGGCCGGGCAGTGCTGCTGGGAGGAGCTCAGGACCGGCCCCGGGAGGTCACGCATGGGGGGGCACAGGGAGGTCACGGTGTCCTTGCTCTGCCCCCCCGCAGAGTGCAACACCAGCCTGTGCAAGGCGCAGCCGCCGCAGTGCCCGCTGGGCTTCGACCTGAAGAGCGAGATGAAGCCGGGACGGTGCTGCCCCCTCTTCTCCTGCGGTAAGGCCGCGGCGGGGGCAGGGGCTCCCTTCTGGGGCCGCAGCCCCAGGCCCCGCCCCAGACCCGCCCAGGCCCCGCCCAGGCCCGCCCAGGCCCGCCCAGGCCCCGCCCCAGGCCCGCCCAGGCCCCGCCCAGGCCCCGCCCCAGGCCCGCCCAGGCCCGCCCAGGCCCCGGGCTGCCACCTGACCTCGGCCCTGCTCTCTCCCCCCAGTGCCCAAGGGCGTCTGTGTTGTTGGGAACGCCGAGTACCAGGTGCGCCAGGGGCTGCCAGGGGAGGGGGGCGGAGGGGGGTTCCAGCCAGGCTCGGGGCTCGCCCGCCTCACACCCCTCCCTGTGCCCAGCCCGGCTCCCCAGTGTACTCCTCCAAGTGCGAGACCTGCGTCTGCACCAACGCCACGGACAGCGCCACGCAGTTCAACAAGGTGTCCTGCAACCACGTGCCCTGCCCCAGCACCTGCAACCCCGTGAGTGCCGCCAGGAGCTGGGGGGGGAGAGGGGGCTGCCCCGCGCCGCTCCCCGCCGCCTGACCCGCCGTCTCCTAGGGCTTCGGGCTGGTGACCGTCCCTGGCGAGTGCTGCAAGAAGTGCGAGCAGACGGACTGCATCATCAACCAGCCCGGCGGCCAGAACCTCATCCTGAAGGTGCGGCCGCCCGGGGCGCCCATCCGGGCCGGGGCGGCGGGGGCGGGGCAGAGGGGAGGCCTGGGGGCCCGCCGTCCGCCTCTCCTCACACACCGCCTCCGCCCGCAGCCCGGGGACATGAAGAGCGACCCAGCCAACAACTGCACCTTCTTCAGCTGCGTGAAGATCCACAACCAGCTCATCTCCTCCGTGTCCAACATCACCTGCCCCGACTTCGACCCCAGCGCCTGCGTCCCGGTGAGCGGCTCCGGGGGCTGTGCGCACGCTGCCGGGGTCCCCTGGTCCTGGGTCCCCCTGGTCCTGGGGTTTCCATGGTCCTGGGGTCCCCCTGGTCCTGGGTCCCCATGGTCCTGGATCCCCCTGGTCCTGGGGTCCCCCTGGTCCTGGGGTCCCCCGGTCCTGGGGTCCCCCTGGTCCTGGAGGGCCGCGCCCATGCTGGGATCCTGCTCCGGCCTGGGCCCTTCTGTGGCAGCTGCCCCTCTGACCCTGGTGACCGGGGCCTCCCGAGGGGGGTCTGGGTCTCAAGCTCACTCTTCCTCTCTGCAGGGCTCCATCACACTCATGCCCAACGGCTGCTGCAAGAAATGTGAGTGCCCGAACCCTAAGCCCTAATCACTAGCCCTAATCCCTAACCCTAACCCTGAATCCTGAATCCTAACCCCTACCCTACCCCTACTCCCTACCCCCTAACCCTACCCCCTAACCTTAGTCCTAACCCCTAATCACTAGCCCTACTCCCTAACCTTAACCCTGAATCTTAACCCCTAACCCTACCCTACCCCCTACCCCCTATCCCCTAACCCTAATCTCTAGCCCTACCACCTAACCCTAACCCTAACCCTAGCCCTAACCCCTAACCCTTACCCCTAACCCCTAACCCCTACCTCCTAACCCCTAACCCCTACCTCCTAACCTCTAACCCCTACCCCCTACCCCCTAACCTAACCCTACCCCTAACCCCTATCCCCTAACCCTAATCTCTACCCTACCACCTAACCCTAACCCTAGCCCTAGCCCTAGCCCTAACCCCTAACCCTTACCCCTAATTCCTAACTCTAGCCCTAACCCTAATCCCTAACCCCTAACCCCTAACCTCTAACCCCTACCTCCTACCCCCTAACCCTCACCCTAACCCGCTGCGGCCAGACGGGCAGCCCTGGCCTGAGGGAGGGCACGGAGAGACGGGCCCGGATGATGCGTTTAGGGCTCCCCTGGGCGGCCGGCTGCCGGGCTCTGGGCGGGGCCTCCCGGGAGGGGTGCAGGGCCCCCCAAGCCTGCGCCTCGCTCTCCCCAGGCATGCCTCGCAACGAGACCAAGGTCCCCTGCTCCACCGTCTCTGAGTCCAAGGAGATCTCGGAAGGCGGCTGCACCAAGCGGGTCCTCATGAACTACTGCTCAGGCTCCTGCGGGACCTTCGCCATGTGAGTGCGGGCTGGGGTGTGTGTGTGTGTGAGTGCGGCCGGTGTGTGTGTGTGTGTGTGTGTGTGAGTGCGGGCTGGGGGTGTGTGTGTGAGTGCAGGCTGGGGTGTGTGTGTGAGTGTGTGAGTGTGTGTGAGTGTGTGTGTGAGTGTGTGTGTGAGTGTGTGTGTGTGAGTGCGGGCTGGGGTGTGAGTGTGAGTGTGTGTGAGTGCGGGCCGGTGTGTGTGTGTGTGTGTGTGAGTGCGGCCGGTGTGTGTGTGTGAGTGTGTGTGTGTGAGTGCGGGCTGGGGTGTGTGTGTGTGTGTGTGTGAGTGCGGCCGGTGTGTGTGTGTGAGTGTGTGTGTGTGAGTGCGGGCTGGGGTGTGTGTGTGAGTGCGGGCTGGGGTGTGTGTGTGAGTGTGTGAGTGTGTGAGTGTGTGAGTGTGTGTGAGTGTGTGTGTGAGTGTGTGTGTGAGTGTGAGTGTGAGTGTGTGTGAGTGTGAGTGTGTGAGTGTGTGAGTGTGTGGTGTGTGGTGTGTGGTGTGTGGTGTGTGTGTGTGTGTGTGTGAGTGTGTGTGTGAGTGTGAGTGTGTGGTGTGTGGTGTGTGGTGTGTGTGTGTGTGTGTGTGAGTGTGAGTGTGTGGTGTGTGGTGTGTGGTGTGTGGTGTGTGTGAGTGTGAGTGTGTGGTGTGTGGTGTGTGGTGTGTGGTGTGTGGTGTGTGTGTGTGTGGTGTGTGGTGTGTGGTGTGTGTGAGTGTGAGTGTGAGTGTGGTGTGTGTGAGTGCGGGCTGGGGTGTGTGTGTGTGAGTGTGTGTGAGTGTGAGTGTGAGTGTGAGTGTGGTGTGTGGTGTGCGGAGTGTGGTGTGTGGGGGGCGGCCGTGCGGCACCGGGCCTCATGCGGCGCCCCCCGCAGGTACTCGGCGGAGGCGCAGGCGCTGGACCACAAGTGCTCCTGCTGCAAGGAGGAGCGCACCAGCCGGCGGACGGTGGAGCTGCTGTGCCCGGACGGCTCCTCGCGCAGCCACACCTACACCCACATCGAGAGCTGCCTGTGCCAGGACACGCTGTGCGAGCTCCCGCCCCGCCGGGGGCCCGGCCGCGCCCGCCGCGCCGCCCTGGGCATGCCCCCCTCCGGGCGCTGA